AAAAATTATCGTATAATAATATTACCAGAATTTCATACTCAAAGAATGATCAGACGTGGGCAATAACATATTGGTTCAATAGATTTATTAATTAATTTAGTATGTTTTATATAAATCTTTTTTTTTGTTTTCATATTATATTCAAATTTATACCGATTCACATTTTAAATCTTAATAAATTTTTAATTAAATTTAAATCTTAATAAAGTTTTAAACGAATCAATTTAAAATTTAACATAATTATTCATTATAACAATTTACTAAAAACAATTCATAATTTTAACATTATACATAAATATTAGTCTTATTAAATGAACTAAAAAAAAATTAAATAATTAATAAATTAAATTTAATTTGAATATTGCCGAAAATAATTCGAGAGTTTGTACTAAAATTATTTAAAATTAAAGATACTTACTTTATTAAATTTTCATTTTTGGCTTATAATTTTCTACTATTTTATCAAGCAAAGTCTTAAAATCCACTGGATCAACTTCTTGAAGATAATTAAATATAATATTTAAATCTCTTATTTCTTCAAGAAAATCTTCAAGACAAATACCATTACTTTCTATTACAAGCACAACCAAATTGAAAGCCTTTCTCCAATGTGATATCTCTGTTCTACATCTATTGGGAATAGATTGTTTGATCAATTTATTTATTTCATTATCTTTTTGCATTTGAAAAGTAAAAGATTTTTTTTGGACATTATCATATATTAGTTTGAATTGAAAGAATTTACTATAAACTCTGCCCAGTCTTGGTTAATTTTATGTTGTCTTTTGCATTTAGCAGTGATTGATTTAAAGTTTTCTATTCAGCTAGATTATATATTTGCGACTTTGTTGTTACTGGTAAAACAGTTGGAAGAAACAATTCTTTATTATCAATTTGTCTAATATAAATGCTTGTATGAGTGGTTTTCTTTTTTTTCGAAAGCACAGTAGTCATCATACAAAGAAAGAAAAAACAGATGTACATAAGAAGATTCTATGCTTTTTTTATATATTTTATTCATGCATTGTTGATAATAACTATAACACCTACATTAGAACCTATTATTTCTAATAAAACACCTATTACTAAATAAGATCTAAATTAGGTAACACAAGTTCTATAAGGGAGTAGGCTCCCATGTTAGCTTAAACTGACTCTTTTATAGTAAAGTAGCGAAGAAGAATATTGCAAGCACCATTAATATCCCTATCGAGTTCTGTTTTACATTTAGGGCAACAAAATACTTTAGATCCACCCAGCTTGTAGTTGACGTAATCACAGAATCCACAGTTTTACTTGTATATTCTTCTGTACAAATAATTGTTCAACACTATGGATGCTCACATGCTTTATGAGCCAGATGTTGCCAAAAATGAAAATGTGATCACGTACACATGGCTCGAGCTGTCTTAGAACCAATATGTTATTGCCCACGTCTGATCATTCTTTGAGTATGAAATTCTGGTAATATTATTATACGATAATTTTT